CACGCAAGGCGCCTTAGGGACCGAAGCGAGTAGGCAACCAGCTCGCACGTCTGCATGGCGGGACAGTGTGCCCCAAACAGAGGACGGCGCTAATCACCATTCAGCCTGCGAAAAGAAAGAAAAGTCAGCAAATAACACGGTTTAACAATCGTCAGCGTCCGCAGTATCGGCAGCAGAAGGCGGCCGCAGATCTCCGCAAGGCGATACAATATTGTCCATAATAATACTCATAATGAAAGCCGGGGTGTGATCGATTTCGAAAGTTACACACTCACTCTTTCACGCCGTCACGCTCACACACTCGGGATATATAGCGAGCCGCCGACGCCGGCGGCGGCGGACGGACGCCCCGCCCTGGCCGCGGGGCCCCCTGACCAGCACCCGTTGCAATCCATCATACTCGAGCGACAGCGTCCATCGCAGATGAGATGGACCGGACCAACAGCGTGGACCAACAGCAGCAGCAGCAGCCCCGACACGGCAGAGAGAATCAGGCTGCTGAAATCAGCCCCCTCTCCCCTCCTCTCTCTCTGCTGTCCACGTCATGTTCTCATGTGATGATGCGGCCTGCTGCTGGTCGGGCTGGGCTGCTGGTCCGTGGGCCGTTGCCGAGGTGTGAACCATTTGTGTGACCCGGGCCGGGGCCGTGTGGCCGGCAGACACACAATAAGCAGCGCCTTGTCTTGAGCGAGAGATGATGGATCATGCTCGGCCCATACCGAGACCGAGAGAGCAGCCGAGGAGGAGGAGGATTCACGGAACGAACGACTCGATCGAGAGGCGTTATATGGCAGAGCGGGGCGGGCGCCCCGGGGCCCGGAGTGGCCTCGACGAGGGCCTCACCCTCCCGGCGGGGGTGGTGGTGGTGGTGGTGGACTTGACCCCCTAGTCATACTACCCGGCCCGGGCACTGCCGACCCGCACCTGTCCCTCGACTTCCAAACACCACCACGTATCGGCTGATTAATCACCTTTTCCCACAAAATATGTCAAACGTTGACTTGGAATGCAGCGCAGAGGTCATCAGGATAGGCAGCCCGTCGCACAGCTGTCCGAGCCGAGGAGCGCGGCGCGGGGGAGGGAAAGGGGGGGGGGGAGCTGCGAAAGAGGTCGGAATCTGACGTGTGAAAAAGCAGTCTAGCGCGCCGCGCGATGCGCCGCATCCCTGTCCATCCCGTTGCCTGTAGATCAATCTACATGATCGCCGCCGTAAAACAGTACGGGCCTGCGGGGGTCGGCGTGTGACCCGAGACCACATCAGTCAGCGCATCCGCGAGTCCCGCGGCGCGGCTGCGGCCGGCGTGGCCCGGGCCATAGTGACAGCACACGGCGCTCACTCTCTCTCTCTCTCCCCGCCGCGCCTGGACTGGAGAGTGACAGAGAGAGGGAGAGACGGTGTTTCCCGCACGCAGCAGCCCGTTCGCACCCCGTGGGCCCGATGCCCCTTATATGGCCAGGGGCCCATTGTCCTGCCGGCCCGGCGCGGTGGGCCCGCCTGCTCCGAGCGGCTCCGCGAGTGACCCGGAGGGGCCGCTGCCCCGGGCCGCCGGGCCGCCGCCAGCAGGTCCACGACGTGTACTCCTCAGGTGTTCACGGTTTTCCCTTCCGGACCGGAAGTGCATCCCGCATGCCAATAACCCTGGACGGCAGCAACAGCTCATCCAGGTCCAGGTCGCCGCCGTCGTCGTCGTGGCGTCCTGGCCGCGGGACGCGCGGGCCGGGCGGTGACCTCGACAGAGAGAGAGGGGGAGCAAATGGTGTGATCGACTTGCGCGTCCAGAAAGAGGTTAACGGTTATGGCACATATTATTGCCACCTTTGCGTCACACACGCGGCGTGTTAATTGCGCGGGACGTCTCCTCTCCTGTTTTTATTGTCATAAAACTGCAACTGCATCTCTCTCGCAGTGTGCCGCGGCGCGCGCTGTCCAGGATCCCAGGCGAGAGGGGGGAGGGCGGGGGGCACGGTCATGAGGACGCCGACGAGGACGGGCGCAGGATGATGGTGATGATGATGATGGCGGC